TCTACTCAGGTAGACTCGGGCAGCTGGGATGAACCCATACCCAGATAGATTATGATAGATTGCTGCTACGTGAGCACGGTCATGATCTTCAAATTGACTATACAGTCAGGGTACTTTGGGAGGATAATTCGCCGTGTCGTTGATGCATTTGTTGAGATTATCATTTTTAGCTCAAGCTATTAGTCATAGAACAAGTCCTTGTCTCGATGATCCAGCGGATGATCTTTCAGTGTGAACCTGCCACAACAGGGAACCCAAACACATCAAATACATTCAAATACGTTCTTTAGATATTTTAGAGGAGGTTACTACTGGCAACCCCTTCGACCTGACAGGATGCGTTGGTTAGTTAGGAAATCATAGCCATGACGCCTAGGGCCTGTACAATTATACGTGAGTTCTTTTTTCAGGCCGATCATGCATTGTAATTGGTTGGTGGGCTCAATTGTTGTTATTGTCGTTTGTTTTGATTTGTTTGATGTTTTCTTCTGCAGATCATCCCACTTGAATCCAATTGGCCTTGGTATTTTGTGGATGGCCTGCATCTTTTCCGCCTAGGATGGCTTCGATTCGCGCAGCGAGTCCAGTTCTTCCGAGCCCCTCGGCAGAAGCCAAATCAAGTGCCTGCGGAAAAAAATGGGCATGCAAAGATAGCAATGTGAAGAAAGGGCAAGATCCTTGTAAGGCAGGAAATTTGACATCCCGCATGCTGTGCGCACCTCCGAGAATTTACCATAATTGCCTCCTATATAGAACAGGAAGGCCAAAATAAAAGAAAAAAGAAATTTGAACCTCCAGTACAGAACAAAGATGGCGCTGGAGAATCACCGTGTTTTGGTACCGGAGAATCTTCAATGATTGAGGAATTTAAATGGTTGCTAGAGGACATGGGTCCCCTATTTCGGGCTAAAGATTTGGATTCAACATGATTCATCATAATTCAACATTTCAACATGGCTCACCAAGCAGTTTGAGTGGTAAAGACATGTAAAGACATGTAAAGACATGTAAATACATGTAAATTCAAAAATTAACAGTTAAAGGAAACCGTCATCGAAACATCGCTTCATTGGTAGCATCCACCTACGCCCTGGCAGCCTCGATCAAGTACCCAGGCCAGACGGAGTTCGAACTGAGGCTCCAGAGGGTGATAGGGATGTTAGAACTGTTAGAGGGGGTGGATCTTAGAGGGGGTTGAAGGCTTCGTTGAAGGTGCTGAAGGAATGCTGAAGGTATTTGATAGGCAGACAAGAATGATATCTGGCTGAGGAGTCTCAGTGTCACTGAGTTCCGCAAGGGGTTGTATCAGATCAGAAAAAAAAAGTGTGGGATGACAGGACAACAAGATGATGCCGTCCGGAGACATGATCATACTGTCACTTGAAGATGCAGGATGTTTTAAAATGTTTTAAATGCCTTGTCAGGATTTCATTCCAACTTCAATATTTCTGGACAGGTGGATTGCTTGCCTGTGTATACTATGACCCATCACCCATAATTTCGAGTTATTCCCCACTTACAAACTGGGATGCACCCCGAAGATATGGTTGATTCAAAGTGATGTTAGGCGGCAGTGATCGACATGCCTCCACGGGAGTTCTCAGGCCTGGGCGACATAGGGACCCTGGGACCCTGGGACCATGCCATGGGTAGCGGGATGATCCCATTGAAGTTGAGGATGAGACTTATGATAAATGTGGAACTTATGATCAGATATATGTATATAAATGTGGATATGTTAGTGGATATGTTAGTGATCTGTCACCAATTTTAATTTGAGTTGATTGATCACTGCGAAATGAGTGGCTGGTGCACCAAGAGGATCCAACAGAACTAGTCCGAGACTCTTCCCGATTTTGTTTTGCCAGTGCCACGACATGGGACTTGCTGCATCTACAATTTGCAAAATGACCCCAACCAGGCCTGAGTCAGCCTGGATCCACATGATTGATCACATGGAACATCACAATGCTCAGTTTCGAGTGGCAAGCATCGACCCATTTGGAACGCCGAAACATTTTGTCTTAGAGTGTGCCAACATGTGCCAACCTATTTCCCAAGAACTACTATCTTTTTCTGGGTCCAATATGGTGGAATAGTATCAGTATATCTACCCATAGCATCCTGCCTATAACAGTTGACCATAATCAAATACATGCGTGGATGTACTAGGATGTGTATTTGTATGTGATGAATACAGAACAGTTATCTGATACATTCACATACTATGTCTTGATGATTACGCATATTTAGAAATAACTATTCAACGAATATAACAGGATAATACAAGATATAACCAAAGTGTAACACTACCCAACTACCAGTTGATTAACCAACTACCAGTTGATTAACCAACTACCAGTTGATTCCCAGCTGTAGCAGCGGTTGATGGCCAGGACAGCGTCAAGACTTGATGGCCTTCGAGGACCTGCGCCAAAGCTTCGCAGGAAAGCGCGGGGCACAGCCGGTAAGATGCGCTGGGCGCTGAAACGATGTGAAACGCTGAAACCTTGGGTTATACCTGAAACATCCTGAAACATCCTGAAACTAGGATTCACTAAGTATAGATAACTATAGTAAAACTGGTTGGGATACTGTTTGAATTTGGTTTTTTGTTGTTTGTTTTCTGGGAATCCTCATCGCATAGCTTTCAGAGGAACCTATTGAGTTTGTCATTGAAGAATTCCTGCATCAGTTGGAAATGTTGGAAGCGACTGGAGATTTCCAAACGATTTCCGTGTTCTGACCTGTGAACCTGCCTCATTCTGCTGCTTCCTTGTTTCAACATAGCTTGTTTCATTCCAACTTGGAAACACGATTCAGGAGTGACTTTATGATGGTAAGCTTAACTGCCAACCAAGTAGGTTCAGACCCACGCTTCAAATTTTCGGCAGGAGAATCATTATGAAGACTCATGGTGAAGAATAAAGAAGTTTCCCTCCCAACCAGGCTTTCCCAATGACTGGGTGAGAACCATACTTGCCTCACTAGCACTCTTTACTATTTATGATATTTATGCACTCTATCACCATCTTTGTCGGTTGCACTGGTCTTTTGTTGGTTTTTCAATTCGCCCGTTTTCGTTGGTTCCCCAAGTGTTTGATCCCTGGGATGGTCCGCTCGCACGGCCACTGACGCCTTGGTTGAGAAAAACCCGAGGTTTCAGACGGCCTTCAGCATCCTGTTCACCGCCAGGCGACTTTGAGAACTACGGGTGGACTGGTCATTTTGGGGTACCCCAATTTCGATTCATTTAGTAAGGGATAAATAGGAGAGCTGCGCTAATGTGGTAAATTCAATATCAACTTGGTGTGTTTGGCTTTACTTATCTAATCCTATCAAATAAGTTGGATATTCAAAAATTGAGCTCTTGATTGGGGTTGCGTAATGGTTTGGAGAGTAAGCCATTGATCGACCCCCTCACTCGTCGCAGGTGGGACTCGCTCGGGTCCCAGAAGGGAGGTTGCGCATGTACAAAAAGTCCAACAAAGGGTTCTTAATGATCTAAATGATCTATATTATATTGATATATATTATTGATCAATATAGATAATCATGATCTATAATTATATTGATCTATATCAATCTATGATAATTATATTGATCTTTGATCTACTATGTATGTTGCTTTTGGGATGTGAAGAGCGAGTACCTGGGTTTTGACCCATAAGTTATATGCAAACAATTTTAAGGCCTGAGGAACCTACTGACCTCCATTGCAACGGGATGCAACGGGAATCACATATGTGTGCCTTTGAAACCAGAAGATGGAACCACTGCAATAAAGGCAGATGGTTTTTCTCCTAGACATTTACAGTTTTTTGAGGGTTCCAGCCATAGAAGTTCAAAGCTGCAAATGGGGTGGACTGCTCCATCAATTGCATCATGTGTCACATGTGTAGTCCCAATTGATGGGGTTATCTCTGCACTTGCAAGTGGTCTTTCGCCGTAAAGAATCAAGATTGTTTGATATGTATAGGCTGTATAGGCTATAGATGGCTGTAGGATCCCTAAGTTTCACCGAGCTACTAGGATCAACATGGCAAATATGCCCTCCCAGCTAATATCTAATTGTTGGCCAATCATCCCAGTCATACTTCCAAGCTCTTCCTCTTATGGGCAATATTGTGGTATTTGGAAACGATCCCGCACAGCACCATTCGGTCGGATGCAGAGGTTCAACCACTGGAGCTCCATCATTGACTTTGGAAACGGTCCGACACAGGACACCAGAAGCGGCTAGTCTTGCCCTGAATTGCTGGATGCCTTTCCCCTTCAGATCTGTCCGCAAACAACATCGCGCTTGATGAAAGGTACCGGTCTGAAGTGCATCAACAGTGCCAGTCTTGCAGCCATCTGTGAACAGGTCAGTGCTGCAAAGTGAGCAGAAGACTCACCTTGCCCCACCAGCCGCTCCGCCCATGTCGTGCGAATCCAATGGCTCGGATCTCGTCACCTTCAATGTGCGGCTTGGATCCAAGTGGTCAATGGCCTGGATTGGAAAGCTGAATGATTTGGTTTCAGGATCATTACGTAAATTTTGCACATATGTGCTGAGTCCATGAAGAGTATGTAATTTCAATATCGGGGATATTCACGTAGGGATTTTTCATTGCCAAGTCTGCTTACCAGAGGATGTTTGGTAATTATGCGTTTTGTTCTTCCAGAGGCTAAAGGATGGCGAACCAGAATGTAGGCCCCCTGTCTGGTAGACCATGTTGACTCCCCCGGTCCTGGTTGCCGCCATTACCGGATCTATTCAAGCCAGGTTGGTGGTTGCAATCCATCTCAAGAGTCATACTTAGTTAACATTCCATTCAACAAGGGCTGCAAACAGCTACCAATCGTGGCCACAGCCGCTAGCTCAATGAATATTTTGGGGTCTCTTCTCAGACAGATCAATATTCAGTAACCTTTGGCCACCGCTGAGGGGCGGCAAGATCTACCAAGTGCTGCGGGAGCCCACGCTGAGTCTGCATCCCAACTCGCTGCTGACTCAGATGGCAGAGGATCAGAAGGATGACAAGCCCATCTTCGTGGAAGGTCAATGTGCTGGTGGGACGCTGGTCTTGTGGTAACAGTAGGTTCTGGGTAGACCGAGCTACAAATGGGTTTCAATTGGATTATATACGTATATTGACTACTTCAGTTCAACAATAGTATAATCGGAGTGTTTGCCTTTAAGATTGGCCATGAATTAGGGTCGCTACACTTTCTGCCGTTGATGGGAACTCTATTCTTATAGGCCAACCAGCCGGACTGGTTGAACATCAGGGTCAGGAGACTTTGTCTTTCCAATTCATAAACGAACCTGTTGTGGTATCGACACGCATGTTATACTTGTCCATGGACGATGGCATCCATATTACCGTTTTAGACCAAGGCTCCTCCCCCAATTATTTTTTGCATGTGGATTGAATTTGGGTCACGCCCTGGAAAAATTAACATGGAACCCCAGAAACTGTAGATTTCAATCGGCAAAACATATTTCAAAACCAAATGTTGGGACTGCAAGTTTGTTTGTTAAGGGTGTATTTCAGCCAACTTCATCTTATGTCCACCCAAGAAGTTCCTTGCCCCAACTGCCATTGGGTGCAGGCAATCAGGACCTCTTCCAGTTCGTGATAGACTATCACCGGGACCGTCGCTGGAACAAAGTTGTTTTGCCATGATGGGTGACCATGGTTTTAAAAAAATGCAACCCTCAACAGGTGACCACCCAAAAATAGATGGTTGATAAGCCCCTGGTTTTTGGTGGTTAGTAAGCCCGCAAACAATGATATTGTGGGAAAGCATTTTGGAGTGGCTCCTCGGAGGTAGTCCAGAGCTAGACCATTACTAGTAAGACCTAGTAAGAATTGCTTTTGAAGGCTTGTCCAAAGCTCCAAGAATGTTAAGAACGGGGCACACAAATTACATTGCCATGGGATATGGACAATTTGTTTTAAGCAGAAAAAAACACCGGGCGAACTAAAAAAGATTTCAAAATAACACTCACATGGGGCTGAACTGTGGTATGGAAAAAGCATTAACATGGGGTTCAAAAAACATGCCCAGCTGCCACTTGTGAAATGGTGTGCAGCCTTCAGGCAACAGGGTCGCCCACCTTCACGCCACAGGTTCTCCTACAAGTACAGGTTGGTAGGCAATCAAGAATCTAAGTAGAACCACAGCATCATCGAAGAAAGGTTGAAGTTTCCACCCCATGTCAAGATCACGGATCCTCAATTTTTGGACCTTGTGCGGTCCCTTTTGTGGATACGGGCCCGTAGATAGATCGAGATCAAAGAGCTTGGAAACCACAAGATGTTTGAATACCACTACAGTTTTGGTGTACACCCTAAGTATGACCCAAACTTGACCCCAATGAAAATTCCCATCGCCTATTTTCGGGAATTAAACATGACTTTTTGTTGATTTTAAATGGTGGTAACCCTTGACCAGAAGGTGATGCTAGGGAGAAATAACGTTGACGAGGAACCAGCACGAGCCACAATCACAGAGGCACCCCAAGATCCCAAGGTTGTTGTTTAAAAGTTGCGCATCGGGAAATATGAAATGCATAAGGCATCACAATGCATATGTTCTTTGGGGTTGCCACAATGGTGGAGTTGTTCCTTAGGTTTCACCACCAATGCTGCATGAACCGAACATATCCGAGGGAAAGTTATCCTCCCCATGACCGTGGCTAGAGATGCTCTAGTGCGAGAGTTGAATCGTTTTGGATTGGAACCCACAGAAGAGCAGTCACGTGGCTTTGGTTGATATGGGGGTGTCCTAATATGGAGGACCCCCCAGATTATCAAACATGACCGTATTTTTGGTGGAAGCTAATCGTTTTGTGGTGCCCCTGTTTCGGGAAACACCTACATGCAGGGATGAATGGAGAGATACTGATACTGTCCTGTACTTGTGTTGGGCTTCTGAGAGTAAAAGGCATGCCCAAATCAATTTAAATCTTTCCAAGTATGCCATCCAGTCAAAAAAACTGCATGTCCATGTTCAATAGGAAAAGAAAAACCATTGAGAAGATGATTTCCATTGGGTTTGTTTACCAGATTGCCTATGATTTTCTCTAAAGATCTTTTTTTTCTCGCTGCAGCGTTAGCTGGGTGCTGGCAAGGATTGTCGAGCATGGCATTTGCTTCTCAAAGGTGAAGAAAAGAATGGCCACCTGGGCAGCTGAAAATGAGACACGGCAGAAGAACTTCGCCGCCGAACTGCTGGGCTCATGGTATGCTAAAGCAGCTGTTGCCCAAGGCCCCTTGCGGGACAAGGGAGAAGGCTTCTCTGTTCGATGGCCCGATGTGCAAGCCGTGCCACTCGATGTTAATTCGCACACTTACATGCAACTCTTCAGTTGTGTGGAGTCATCCGCGCTGGCAGAGTCTGAGAGCTTGCAAGGCTTTGCTAAAGCCTTCGGATATTCAGTGACAGCCATTGGTCAGGGTCGCCACGGCGACTGGCAGGTGGACTTCAAGCAGGCATTTTGAATCATGTTGACATTCAAAGATGTGTGAAATTGACGCGTGAGCAGATTCCAGCTGCCGGTTTAGTCTAGGCAGCATTTACTGGACTGCTGCTTTTTAAAAATCCATGATGAAGCTGGATTACGGAGATTCGGGTTTTTGTTTACGTGGAGGTTGCAAATTTGGTGGCTACACAGCCACCAGCCACTAGTTTGCTTGAGCCTAAATCAGCAAATTTCAAAGAACCTTCGATCGTCAGAGAGTGCGATCATGTCATTGTTTGCACATGCCACCCAGGAGCTGGCAATACGATCCTTAGAAAATCATCAAAAACTTGAAAACTGGACAGTATCAGTATCATTTGTGTCCCTGCATCCAGCCAGTTTCATTGATCTGTGTGCTGTTGCCTTCGCTCACAGAGCCCTGACAGCTCCTGCGGAGTTCAACAGAAGAAGATTATGTGCTGGAAGAAAAGGTGGCGCGTTTTCCAAATGGTTGGGCATTGCGCGGTGTTGCAACATTATATCTTCGGCATGAAGACCTGTGTGAGTGATCTGCGAGATCTATTCTCAGAGAGAGGCCTCAAAGTTTGTTTCGCTGATTGGTGGTTTTAATGATTTCATATACAATTTCATAATTTTTCCGGTACCCCTAGCTGGGATGATCATCCAAATTGATTACACTTGTTTTTTGCAGTTGAAACCACCAACCAGTTCCTGCTGATGATTTTGTTCAGTGCTCCTATTTCAACTTTCTTTAGCCCCACATCCTGGTCGCGCACTTGGTGGAAAACTCCTACCCCACGAAATTTGCTACAGGTTTTAGAAAATGGGTGAAAATGGCCCATTTATATTTGATTTTACCTCAGGGAAAGTTCTGAATGATTCGTCTCGGCTTTTCTAAAGAGCGAGCTGTTTTGGTGCTTTCTGCCAGGGTGTGGTTTCAGGGTGAGTCTTGATTTCCAACTCCGGACTGTTTATGGCGGTTGTTCGGGGTTGAAAAAACATGTGGTTTTCGGAACAGTTCAGGGTCTGAACGAGTTGCTCAAGCTGAGAAGGTCTAGGTCAGAAGGGATCCTCAAAGATTTTCCTTTCTCGAGATCGTGTTTCAGCACCTTAAATGTTGAAGGAGGGTTAATATGCATCAACCCCCCAAAGAGATGATGTCAAAATGAGCGAATGTTATGACAGTTGTGAATGAGAGGTGAACATCCCAAACAGGTTCCATAAGAAAAACAACATCAAAATGTTCTGACCATGCTGGGCAAGTGACAGCGACCTTGGGACCTCACCTTGAGTGATGATTAGCAAAAGGACGATAAGGAAGTGCCGCAAAAGCATAATTTGCTCATGTAATTCTTGCGTGCGGCAATATATTAAACTCTATGTGTATTTTTACGTATGATGGGGCCGATAGGGAGATAGGATAAACTAGCACCATGGCACCATGACCATATTCTTAGAGGGTGAGACATCCTGATCCTGTCCAGGAGAACATTGTCATTGCCAACCAGGGGCGCTTGAACTCCTTGGTCTTTGAGATCTACAGGCCAAATCACCACGATGGGCGCAGCCTCAGGTGGTCAAAAATTGGGTCTTGCTGGATGATCAATGCATTAAATTTGTTGTAGATGTCTGTGGGGGGAATAAACTCTCTGAGCTTTGGTTGGTGGTTTCATTCTACCTGCGATGATGAAATATGATGAATCCAAATTACTAAAACATTTACAGTGCAATGGGTTGAAAGCACCAAGCAGTCTTCCCTTCTGGTAAGTCCTACGGTCCAACTTTAACTCAACATCCCAAAGTTCCTAAAGTGTATCCTGCCAGGGGTGGACAGCGTTTCGCAGTGGTCTGCCCTGCCGTGTTGACCCTGAATGAGACCTGCACGTGCGCCCCGTCGCCCCGTGGCGTTGATCAGGTTGGGGCAGGATCCAGCAGGAGCTGTGCACCCCCCTGAAAATCCACATGAGATCCTCTATCTTTCTATCTTAAATCGCGATGTTTGTTCAACAGAGGGCATACACCCATTACACCCTCAACATCTCTGAACCAGATGAACCTCCTTCAAAATGGATCTGGAACATGATTTCTCCCAGCATGGCACCCCCAATCCGGACCATTTATGATGACATTGTGTATCGCAACAGCTGGGCCATTACCCCATCTTACCTCTCGCTCAACAGCTTACAGGTACCTGTGCACAGTCAGTGAAGATGGGGTGATGTGCATCCAGTGCAAAGGCGAAATCATCGGCCGCTTGCTTCAACTGCGTGACCGATGGAGCGTCCAGCAATTCTGAGCGGTATGAGCGGGAAGTTCAACAAGAATGACGGAATAGGTTGGACAAACGTCAGCAACAAAAAGCGATAATACGGTTTCAGACCATCAAACCAATGAAAATGGCTAGTAGATTGCTACTCCTCATGTGCTCATCGATGGAGGCATAAAAGGGCACCAGTGGCCCACGTGTCGGAAGGGTGAACTATTTGATTCAGTCGGACCAAAGATGTGGTATTGGATGGAGTACGAATGTTCCAAAGACAAAACCCAGGGATGCTGTTGGTTATTACTCAGCATGTTTTGGTACTTGTATAATGTCAAAGTTGTCGATGTCATTTTTTGTGTTCCAGCCCTGAGTTTTTTGGTTTCTCTTGCAACTGCCTTCAGAATGTGCTATTATGGATCGGGATGCACGTTATAAACCATTTCACTGCAGTTGTCACTTGATGGCTTGGGCATGCTGGGCTACAATCCCAAACAATTCAAACATTTGCAGTAGATATTATCTATAGACTGCAAATGCTTGAATTTGTTTGGTGTATAGCCATGTTTTTTTTTGCCCCACCTGTTCCCGGTTCAAAGCTGGCGTGCCGCTTCAGACTCCCCAGGTCAATGCACTGGATTGCCCAGCGGAGGAGGACATTCCAGGCCCCAGCATCGAACGGATGGAGGTCCAAATAAAAAAACACCAAAGATGGATAAATTAAATTGTGAATGTTGCTATATTATGTTGCTATATTATGTTGCTCACATCCCAAAATTGACTCTTCATGGCTCTCCTGTTCATTTCTGGGATGGGAACATTCTGAATGCCAAGGTGAACTGACACTGCGAGATCTTTCCAATACCAAATTTTGAGCAATACCGGACATAAAACACATGAAGGAAACATTGCCAAGGGTGACGCACCTTCGGACCACGAAGATGCGTTTGTTATTGTACACGGCTCGTCATTTTTCATTCAAAAAGGGTCCAGCTTGAACTCTGCTGAGACGATCCGTGATCTCATGGTATCTCATGCTCACAAGGTACAGGAATATAGACAGTCCTTTGAGTCCTTTCTTGTCGGAACCCGACCCATACCAAGACAGTGATGGTCGTAGATGCTGTTTTTACAGCACAGGAAGTATCTCTACGTGGGGAAGTCTTGCAGGGGATCCCACTTGGGACGGAGTCATTCTGTGGGTGGTTCCCAAAAATCGGGGGTACTGGTTGATCCTCCTCTGGATTAGTGGATCATGTACCCAGGGTAAATGGGGAAAGTCTACCGATTTTCGACTATTAGTGAGTGGGATGAACCGCATAATCCCCACCTCGAAAGACATCCTGAAGTATCCACTTACTTCGGTCTTCACATCTTAAAAATTCTGAGAGACACCCATTGGATATCGTTGGATCATTTTTTCCAGGCTGTTCCATGCTAGCTTTCATAGAAAATGTGACAAGGCATATTTTGGCCAGCGGGGAATCCTTGAAAGCCAGTTGAGCCCTCTTGACTTCTGAGGCCAGAGGGGATGAACAGAACATAGGTCGCCTACACCTTGTTAGTTATGGCCGCAAGACATCATTCCACAATATTCTACACATTTACCAAAGTTGACCAATAAAAACACCAATTTGGAGATGTCTGGAGGATCCAAGCCTCATTTCTTGATCCTTTTCCGCAGCAACTTCTGTGCACAACTTCCTATGTCCCTTCCGCACCTGAGGCTGGCCCGATCGCGACATGTTCCACGGGCGAGTCCAGCAGCTGAAGGCACAGTTGAAAGGTGGCTCTGGAAGAGGTGCTTGGAGGATCTTCATAGCTGGGCTTAATAAACCTGATTAATTAATATTGATTAAGATTGATTAATATTGATTATATATATAATATTGAATAATAAGGGTAAGATTAGTAAGGTTTAATAAGTCTAGGAAGTTTCGTATACTATATGGGGTTGTGTCGTATCGCAATTGTATAATTCTATTGTACATTATTATACATATGTTATGAGCCTGCTGACTGTTACTGTTTGGAATGATCGCGAGAGTTACCCTTTGGGGATCCCTCTGGTAATCAAACATGGCAATGAACAAATCATGTTTTTCAAGACAAACATAGTCTACACATTGAATTTCATATTGCCAGCTTAGACTACCAGGTGATGTGTTTAGGCAATACATAATAAATCATGATAATGACATCATATGACCACTTGTTGAATTTGTGTTTTGAGAATATCAATGGATGTTTTGGTGGTATATGTACCATATTTGGCTGTGTATGTGTGTGGATACTTATGACCGGTTAAAATGGCCTCAACACAAACATCTTGGCTATAGCCATACATGTATGATTTGTGTTAGGGATTACTTTGATCGTATTCCATCATGGTTGAGGTTCGTCATAAATCATCAAGGGCGTGTGCAGCACAGTTCAACCTACACGCCTTCAGATTTCGCAAGGAAGGCGGGTTTACTTCAGTTGTGAAAAATCCCAACACCAGGAACATGTCCAATTGGCAGCATTGATGCCTTGTAGATATTCTGATTCTAAACATCTAGATCATTTACCGCGACCTCATGGCTTACCCAGCCCCAAGCCTCTCATCATTCGATTGTGCATTGCTGACCCAGATCCTTTGTAGGTCTTCAACGGCCAGACGTTGGATTGGCACGAAGTGGTGGTCCCGTGGCTGCAGGGCGGACCAGTCATCTGATTTCTACCCTGCCACGCCAGATCTTTGCAGGGTACATTTTTCACGATGAATCCAAGATTTTGGGTACCTATCAGGTCCTATCAGATATCCTAAGATCACCCAAGAAGATCCAAGAAGGTGGCGCACTCCGCCAAGGACACAGTCTTCGAAGAGGGCGAAGATGGTTTTGACAGGCCATTCTTGATGAAGGACCGAGAGCCACGGGGACCATGAAAGGGGCTTGGAGTGTCACTTCATTCAGTGGGGTCTGTTGACTCCTTTCTTCACCAGATTTGAGGATAAAACATGTTCAATGTGAGCATTATTTGTGGTAAATCTTGGTGTATCGGGTTTAGAGATCAGTCTTTTTCACATTGTTACTGTTGTACATGTTTGTTATTGTTTGTTAGTTTTTTTGCTCGCACCTTTGCCTGGCATGATGACGGTAGATTTTCAGATGGAACTGAAATCCAATCAACAGCCAAAGGCATCCAAATGACAGCTGAGATGCTTGTCACACAGCAAGCTGAGATTCCATGAAATTGAAACCGTTCTGGAACTGGTATCTCTTGTGTCTTGTTTTGGTTTGTGTTGGTATTTTTGGTATGAGGCTAGAAGGTGGGTTTGCATTTAGACAGGGATGGGTGGGACATATAGAGTGTTTCTGAAAGAACATACCCAATCCAGAAAACAGAACTGTAAACAAGACGCATCTTTTGACTCATTTGACACGGATTGCCTTCAGTTTAATAAACATGCAGAGGCCTAGGAAAAAAAAGGCGGAGTTTCCTGTTGATGTTCTGTCAAATTATTGGATAATCATTCCAATGATATCGCCTTTTACATGTTTCCATCGCAAAGGAGCTCTTGAGCCACAAACAGACCACGGCCAAAATCGAGCCGGGCCAGCCGAGCTAGAAAGCGAAGGATAGCGAAGGTGGAGTGAATTCAAACTCAACCTGTTGAGTTTCGAAGATGTTTCGATATTCATTTTGATAACACCAAAAAGGTTCTCGTTTTGGACTGGCTAGTGGTTTCGAATGAATTTGGTTTCATCTTAAGCTTGAGCTGGGAGGATGGTCCCAGTTGGCTTTCATATTACTGTATACTATTGTGGCCTGGCAGGTACGGGTGAATATTGAAAGGACACCACATGAGTTTCTTTCCTTTGTTGAATCATCAGATTTTACGGGCTCCAACGACTTGGCTCATACTCAAATGATGAACATCAAGCAACATGGTGCCATCATGGTGCCCCAAATCTATCCTCCATCTTCAAATCCACGTGCCAGCGACCTAGGCCAAAGGTGCACGGTGCGCGGTGCTCAGAGGCTGAAGAGTAGAAAAACGAAGCTTCACAGATTATCTGTTCACCTTAGTGAACTGTTTGGACCATGTGATATCATAGGGCGCACACACAATCAATGATGATCAATGCATTAATGCCATTTATTCTACCAAATATGGTTACATCCTCCAAGAGTGTTTCAGCTGGTTGCATCTTTAAGAATGAATGCCACAGAATTGTAATCACAACGCGGCATGGCGGTGCTAATCAAAGTGTGGCCTTGCTGCTAGCTGGCAGTCTGGTGAACCGCTGAGGCCGATGTCTTCCGAGCTACAGAGAAGCAGGAACCACCGGGTGTCCCTGGTGGGGAAATCCGATGAAGTTAGGATATACCTTGGTCAGGATGCCATCTGCTGCATGTTGCAACGGAATGGGCAGTACAACATAAAATGAGGGACAATGACAATGATGGATGATGGATGACTAAATTCTGTACAAGGAGTTGTATGACGGTGGTTGATTGGCGAGTAGTATGGCATAATGAGGGGCATCCCCGGATCCATATCACCTGACAAAACCAAGGACCGATGTCAGCGATGTCAGCTTGTGAAGGGGGCATGGTTCACTCATGTCAAATGTGTGTCTAGGAGTCTAGGATATGAACAAGTGTGCACTGAGAATCACTGAGATGCGCTGAGTCGCTCAGTGGACTTGTTGTGAAACTCATCAGCGATGTCATGAAGGTCACACTTAGTTTCTGAACATTTCTTTGCCAAAAGTTCCTGCATAGTTTCGGGCAAATGCACAGGAACCCCGGCATTTGGATTTAAACAATATGTAAAAATCGTGGTTTCCTGCCATGTTTCCCTTCAATCAACCGATTGAAGAAGTCCTTTTGGGTTCGAACATTTACATGCCCCTCAGTCACGTTGTGGCCAGGACCAGTCCTTTGAACCTTCAGGTGGGGAGGGCGGGGAAAGACGTTGAAGGCACGCTGGATCTTTCAAATTTCCACGGCTCCAAAGGATGGGATGAGTTCAATCCCAGCGATTCACATTTCCGAGACATGGTCCGATCGCCCGTTGCAGGTCAAATCGATCCAGGATATTTCGTGGCGGCGCTGCTGCGATGTTGCTTCGGCGTGCTGCATGTAGGGATGCTCATGGGCTCCAAAAAAAATATGGAGATATCTGTGTGGTCGTCCGTTGAGAACCGAAAGGTTTACGAATCGAGGGATGTTTGGTGTTTGATCATTCATTTTTTGGGTGTATATACCCAAACCTCAAATGGCCCAATGGTCCCGAATTCTTATCCATGTCCAAGTGTTTCTGGAATTTTAGTGAACATCCACACCACTGCAGCAGATGTTGCATCGTTTGTCTCCCAGCCAGTCTGCAACTTGCCATCACCTTGGCAACTGGAAGAAATTTGGTATTGCCCCATGTGAAGCTGGATGAAGCTGGCTTGGATTGGTGGGTTGTTCTTGGTCTGAAACCATCCGAGTCTTCTGGTTGAACGTATACCCCAAGATACTAACCTCCCCGGAAGTCATGATTGTACTCCCCTTCTCGATCTGTTGGTGTGTTAAAAATGTTATTAATATTTATTAATTAAATTACATATACTATATTTACTGTACCTCCTGAGAAGCGAGGCGCCAGCTTCCGGTAAGGCGGAGGCTGAGATGGCAGGGACGGCCCAGTGTTTCACCAGTGCGAACTGATGATCAATTGATGATAGTTACGTTACAGTAGTTACTGAGTTTCATCATGTTTCATCAAACGATGTTGAATCATATTGATGGGGATTTAAGATGATTTAAGCATATTTACTGTAAGCAAACCTGGGTAAAACATGGTAAAACTATATACCAGTGAATGCTTATTGAAGGGTGAAGATTTGTTTGTCCCAAATGCGTAAAGAAGGGCTCTCGTTTGTCTAGGGGGGTTGGGGGTGGAGGTGTGTTCGCTTGACTTTGCTTTGCCGTTGGTAACCGTCCGCAACCGTTCGCAACCGCACGCAATGAAAAGTGATATGGCTGAGCCGATAGCGAATGCTGCAAAAGCGATCAAAAGCGGTCATTTTTGAAAAAGACGAAACATGTCGTTTTGTGTGGCAAGCATGGCATGTGTGATCAGGTGTCGAATGTTATGTTGTGTGACATGCGCAATACCTTTGAACGGTCTTCTGGAGATTATTTTAATTGTTTGGGCAGGCGCAGTACTTAAGACGTGCGGTGATGCGTGTTCTTTTTGCAAACTGGATTGGAACTGCTGCGTCAAGTGGTGACGAAGTGCAAATTTTGTGGCAGGCGCAGTACATCGTGAGAATCTCGTTTTTTGGGGCATGCGGGCACAATATTTCTCTTGTTGGGATGTGGCATCGCATGACATGTTGTTTTCCTTCACAGGCATGGCACTTCGTGATATTCCAACGTGGGTGATTGCGTGTCAAAAGACGCTTTCTGTGACAGGCGCAATGCTTGGAACGGTCTTCTTCTTGAGATGATCTCTATTTTTGCTGGCAGGCACAGCACGTCAAAGAATGTTTGGCGCCTCCAAGTCACTGATTTATTCTGATTTAGGTATATTTAGGTACCATTGAGGCACCAATCAGCTTCTGCGTAGGGCTTCGGCTGAGGTCAACACCTTGTTGGACAAGCACTTGGCTCCTTGACCGCATGCATGGCGCCTGTCCATGGTTTCTTGGAAGTCCTTCAACTCGGTACCCGCTGATAATCCAACCTGGCGGAAACATGCTGTCGAAAAAAGATTTACCTGAATCTATGATGGATAATTACCAGGCTCGACTACTCGAAACTACAATGCACTGTGACGAGACTATAGGCTATATTACCCACTTCTTCGTCGACGCATGTCGACGCCTTTTTTCAGTGGCTTTTCAGACAATAGGTCCAAAAAGAGACAAGCAATCTTTACTTAAAACCGCCTTGGTTGCATGTCTCAAACGTAAGTGCCAAGTTGGGGTGAGATCTATATGCTGGCTAGATGACTAGATCATGCCCAGCAGAGTCATTCAAGCCTTGAGCGTTTCATGGATCAAAGAGGACATGTAGCCCCCGGTACTCTGGGATTTTCCCGCCAGTAAGGGTGACTGCGGCAGAAAGTCTCTAAATTCTCTGCCCCAAGGTGGTTCGACTGGTTTCCTTGGTGAGGCCCCGCCAGCAGGGCCGAGGGTTGGAAGGATTTGTTGAATCTTCCCATGTTGTGTTTTCGTTGGCTGTGGTTTAAGGAAGACATGTACCTTCAAGATCCTTCAAGGTACCCCCAATCGGACGATATGCGTTCCCATTGTGTCCGCTTTACTTTTGCAGAGTTCTCTTTTTGAGCTCTACACTCAAGGTGTAAACGAAAGATGACATGTGTCACATGGTGTCCCATTTCAACGAATTCTTGTTTTGAATATTTTTGACATGACTTTCCATTGATCAAACAGCTTTAGAAACAAATCGTTTTGAGATAACAGGATGTGTGGCCCATTCAACTGCTGCTGCGCCGGGATTCTCAGTAGATGGGTGATGGATCGTGGAGTCAGATGGTTGCCACAAATAGATACAAACTTGGATTTATGGGAAAAGGTTGGCGGCTGGCAGCTGCGATGTTTACATTAGAAGATATATAGATACATATAAATACATATTTCATAATATTGATTTAAATATTATATTATGTATTATAAATTACTATAATATATTAGTGTATGTATATATATATATATTTCTGATATACCAGAATACACCCCATGCAACCATTTCTAGACTTCAGGGGATCATTCCTGTTTCACTGAAGTGTTGCAAAAGGATAGCAATTTGACATTGTGATAAATATCATTATATATATATTAGTATATATAGGCAATCAAGCCTTTCAAATCTACACAGTTGATTGACCACGGCATGTAT